TACATGCAGGCTGTCCTGACACACGATCCAGTACTCAAAATTATGGAAGTTTTGTCAGTAAAAATTCTTTTATTCATTCTCAAAATTTACTTAGATCAACTTAAAAAAGAATCACAATAACCTCCTGTTTCGAAGTATGTTGAATCTGATATATGAATGTATAATTTCTAATATGTGGTGTCCTTATCTTGCAAATGGTTGTTCAAACGTATTACATTACAGGGAGTCTGTTCCAGTTGTTCCAGGAGACATCATTCATTTAGAAGGGGAGTGTAGCTCTGGTACCTGGATAATAAATGAACAGTCTGGATACCTAGTTCTTTACCCAGATCTGCTGCTTTCTGGCACTACGATATCAAATAGTATTCGATGTATGAGACGAGCAGTGCTGAGCGAAAGGTTTAGGGTAAGTGTTAATTCTAGAGCATCAAGCATATCAATGGGTTACTGTTTCACTGAGACTAGTGGTTTAGCTCTATTAAAACTGGCTGAGATGCTGTATTGCAAAATGTCATTATTAGCTATTCATAATGTTTACAACACAGAATAATTTGGAATGGAAACTGGCTGTCTCTGGCTGAGCTTCTTGTGTTTTTTGAGAATTTCGGCTAAAATAACCCTATATTCTTAATATAATGAATGGGGCAAAGAAATGGTCTTCCCACTTAAAATTCTGGCAACTTTTTTGATAATCTCTTGCCACGTTTTGTGTGGATATGAATCTTCTGTGAGGGATGTGCCTCTTGTTGGCCATATGAAAACATAACCACACTTGGCCAAGTTAAAAGCCTCTGAAAAAGGAGCCCATTCAGTTAAGACTCTTTCTAAATACCCTATGAGAAACAGGCTTTAGCTCAAGATCAAGCTGGAATATATGTGTACTGTAATCGGGGTTTGTGTGTGCTAACTCTGGAATCTGGATCTAGCTATTGGAACTTGGAAAGAGGAAAGGTTTCTTGTGGTAGAGTCCTTGCTGATATGTTGATTCAGCTGAGGAAAACTTCCAGACATGGTGGAAGTATAAATCCAAGTGGGCAAGGGAACTGGAATGGAATGGTAAACAGCCACTGGGGGCCTATGACTGAAACAAGAAATTTAAGTACAGGATGAGATAGTGTCAGGCCTTCATTAAAGGAGTAAGAGGAATAAGCTAATAATTTGGGAGTCCTGAGTCCAGGATAACACCACCCTCCACTTGTGAGTGGAAGCCACTAGTGCCAGATCTGTAAAAGATACCCGTAAGTACTTAAAAACCGTACTGATTAGATTTCCAGTTGTTCAGTGGTGGCTCATGAGAGGTCATAACTTAGTACCACTTTCAATTCTTATGAGTCTACAGAGCCTAGTCCTGCTGATGGTTAGATGGGTTTCTGAGCCATTCTGGTGATACTTGGAATAATTTTGTGAGAGTTAGTAAAACACAGTAAACTGCTTCCTGCAAAAAATAGTATCTGTAAGATTGTAAAGGTATTTGCATTAGGAAATACTGCTGTTAATACTGCCCACAGGCAAAACATGCTCAAAATTCATTTTAATCTTGTGCCTTTGTTTCTCACTTGTCAATCACATAGGGATTGTATCCTAACATTATCAGGGTTGGCATAAAGATGAGAGATAAAGCAATAGGAGAGACACGTTTCAATTTGGCTGTTTTCACGGTCAGGTTGGAATAGGTATTAATTAGTGACGTGAAAACTCTAATGATCTTGCAATTAAATAAGTGCAGTCCATCATGTGCAGCAAATAAAAACTGGAGATTTTATAGAAAAGTTTGCATGAAGTGGGCATAAATCATGTATATATGTGTTATATAACATCTGTTGCAGGGCTCCGAGTCTGGTTCACGCCAAACCCTCATTGGTACAATTCTTCATGAAATTTTCCAACAATCGGTAACAAATAACTTGGCACAAGAAAAAGTTGAAGAACTAGCAAATAAAATTGTATATGGACAAAAGTATCTTAAAGAAATGTAAGTAGCATTGCAGGTATCTTTTTATGTTTGGAAGACAGGGTAGGAACATTTGAACTAGCAGATAAATTTCTACTTTAAAAAATGTAGCACCAATATTGGGAGAATATTCTTCCAAATGACCTTGCTTAATGAAACGTGGGTATATTTTTAGTAAAATATTTCCCCGTTTCATAAAGTAAAAATCACGTAAAAAAACCTATTATCTAGAATATTATAACTTGTGTGTTGGGCAATGTCAGTACCTGTTAGCTCCAGACCAGTTGGAAGTTAAAATTTTAACAAGATTTATTACTCTAGTTCTGTTATGAAGGTGGATGTTTTAAATTGTGACTGCTAAGATTACTTAAAGGCTTTTGTGTCACTCTGAGCCTCCGTGTTTGAAACCGTTGATTTGTGATTCCTCTTTGCATGTGTAGGCTACTATTTGTTGGGATTGAAAAGTTTTATATAAAAAAGTCTGATGGCTGTGGTCATTTGCACTTGTATGAACCTTTTTGTGTAAAACGCACTTGTATTTCTCTGTTGCTGTAGAATAACAACATTATTTCCAGTGAATGCCAGCACTGAATTATATAATGCCACATGATTAGGTTCTGCTTTCTTGTGTATTTGTAACTGTAGCAACTGAACAGGATCCTGATTCCTTTCCAATTAAAATGGTCTGAAGCCTGTTAAAATGTATATGAAGAACAAATAGCAGATCAGTGTATTCAGACAAAAAGCAAATGGTCTTTTAAAAATTTTTTTTAACATTTTCAATTTTGCATAAAGCATAGCAATAGCCATTTTTAAACGCATGAGTCTGGTACTCCTTTCTTGCAGTCTGTTAGTTTTGTTTATTGCATCTACCATGCTGATGCTTTCCTTGTGCTACACTTGTCGTTTCAAAAGTGATGTCAGAAATGAATATAGTGTAATTCTATCTCTTGTAATGGATGTTCCGTTACAGTTTTATGAAGTAGTCGAGTTGAACCTTAATGAATCTGTCACTACCTACAATTTATAGATGTTTAGTCAAACTTGACAGTTATTTCCATTAATCTTGTTAGTACCAGCCACAAATCTAATATTTCTGTTTCCTTAATGTGCATGGCTTTATTTTTTAGGTATTACTTAAATCTGAAACAATCGGAAATAATGCAGGAAGTGGAAGAGTATTTGCCATCTTTTTTTAAATGGGCGGAAGACTTCATGCACAATCCAGCTAATCAAAATACAATGCAACTAAAACTGTAAGAAGCCAGAATTAAAAGTTAAAACCGTTCTAAGCTGTGTATCTTGTTTGGTTCGCTCTTAATCTTTAGAACAGCACCTTTTATGCAAAACAGTTCAGTGATATGGAGCTAATTCATGGCCTCACTGCCAAAATAGCTACTCTTGAGACTGCATGTTTAGCTGCCATTGTGAGTATTGGGAAGACATTAAGACTGAGGGTGAACTGATATAAAAATCTTATTGGTCTTAAAATCCTTGTAAACTGCGGTTCAAAGTAGAAATTTTACTAATTAGAAAAGCAAGCTTGTTTGATCTACTGGCTAAGCTAGAAGTTACTGTAAATATGTGCCAGACTACAAATCAGAATGTGAAAGTATTTGTCAATCAAATGTAGTTCTTCACTAAGATAACAGTTTATCAGTGAAATGGTAATTTTACTCAACTGCTGCTGAGCTCTTCTTTTCTATGGCTTCTTGATGCTAATGGTAATAGCCATAGAGTGTTAAAGTTTCAGCGACATGGCAGGTCTGAGTAAAATCTGTATGCTGCTTTCCAGTGTGTGTCATTAAAATTTTTGAAGAAACAAAATATTTTAGAGTGTGCTTAGTCAGAAAAGACCAGAACCTATTAAGAACAGTTTAAGATTCTTTTTTAACTATTAAATTTAGGTGGATAGCAAAACTACGTGCCAATATGCAATTTAAAGTAACTTTCTGATATGCTTCCTCTATTAATGGGAAGATAGTTTGAGTGAGACTTGATGTACTTTAGAAATAAAGTTAGTGCCTACAGAGTGCCTATAATGCAAAAATATTTAATTCCAACACATTTTAATATTAAGAATTACAGGAAATTGTAACTTCTGACTTAATTTTCTTCCTAGGTCAAGTGGTGAAAAAACAGATTTCTCTTCTAAGGTAGAGATTGTAGATATTTTGGACATTGAAGAGAGTATCTGGTCTCCCAGGTTTGGGTTGAAGGGAAAGATTGATGTTACAGCCAGGGTGAAAATTCATCGCCAGTCTGGAGTACAGTCTAGGATAATGCCGTTAGAGCTCAAGTCTGGCAAGGAATCTAACTCCATAGAGCACAGAAGTCAGGTATAAAAAACAAATGTATAATTTCACTATTAGTGGTTATGTGTACTTTTTTTTATTTTATTAGATGACCTCTTTTGTCTTATGAATGTGAAACACGTTGTAGGTAGTATAATCTAGACTTATGGATGGCAGATCCTGGCATGCCTAAAGCTGCTGATGTAAAATGAAAGTGAACTGAGGAGTGAGAAGTATATACATTTACTACTTCCAAACATATTTATAGTTTTTTTTTATCCTGCAACAGCTGTTCCTTAGTCTCTTCTTACTACATTCAAGTATTAAGTTGAGGCAAACTGCTTCAGGAACTAGTGTCGTACATCTTTCCAGATAGCTGGTCTGATCTAAAGCGAGTAGCCTTGTATAAGCTTTTGTTAAGGAAGATGCCTTTTAATTGAAATCCTTGGTTAGGTGCCTACTACTTATGGCTTCTAGATTGCTTGTGATAGTAATGGCTGCTTAACCATATAAATGATGGAAAAACTAAATACAGCTTATAATGTATTTTGTTTTTAATACATTGTAATAAGTTTATGTATAATGTTTGCAGGTTATTCTGTATACACTGTTGAATTTAGAACGGAGAGTAGATCCCGAAGCTGGATTTCTTCTTTATCTTAAAACTGGTACTATGTACCCTGTTTCTGGAGCTCGCATGGACCGAAGAGGTAAAGTTGTTTCCCTTCCCCAGAAACCATAATTATCTTAATTAAAATGAAACATTTTAGCAATAGTTATAAGGTTTGCTCTTGTGAACATATCTGTACTTAGTGATGTATCACTTGTTATAATGTTACGAAGTCTAATAAGCTTATGTTAAAAAATTGATTGTTTTAGTAATACTCCACTAGGGCTTTTTTATATGAATGCGTACTTCTTAGCTGACTAAAAAGTTGATGGGTAGTTACTTCGGAGTTGGAAATTATTACAAACAAACCCCAAAACATCAGCTTGGTTTGTTCTTTTCTTGACAGAATTAATGAAGTTAAGAAATCATGTGGCGTTCTACTTAACACACACTACATATAAATCTGCCGTGGGAAGACAGCAGTCGCAGCTTGCTGCTTTGCCTCCTGTAATTGATGACAGTCAAGCCTGTAAATATTGCTCCCAAATACACAATTGCTGTCTATACAGCAGGTAAAAAAAAAGTTTGACTTGTGTTTTTAAATAAGCTTCAATAATTGTAGCTTTTGATATTGGTATTTCATTTTTGTGGTTGACAGTTTCTTCTTTCTTTATTGAGGAGTCTTGCACCCCAAAAGAACGTTCCATAGACCCCACTGCAACTTTTATAGTGCAAGTCCCTGATCTCACACAGACTTAATGTGTTTGCTCAGGTACACTTTCTGCAAGACAAAATCTGAGAAGTCTCAACAAAATACTTGATGATGGTAACAGATTTCTGTTATATCTAAGTTAATAATTATGATTTTAAAATGCTGTATTCTTGTAACTATTTGAAATGGGCAGTCTTTTGAGGCTGAATTATGGCTGGCTCTTTTACTTCGGCTCTATAGGAGATTGTTTCCCTGTAGGGTATCACACAAGTAATGATACATTTATATTACTCTGCTGAAGTGTTATTGCATCTCCTGTTAAAGAGAGGTCATGAGCAAATAGTTGATAGATTTTCACATAAATTTATTGACTTTTTTTAAAACCTGTTTTTTAGTCTTGTCTTCATGCTGCATAAAAAAACCAAACAATTGTATACTGGAGAGATCAAATGAGATGTTAAAGCAGGGGAGATTTTGGGGTGGTTTTGTGTAAATATAATGCCTGATTGTTTTTAAAATTGTAGGCGTAAAAGTGTATGTTGAGGGAACTAGCTTTGTGGGTCTACATGATATGTTTTTTGTAAACTATTTGTTGTGAAACATTACTTCTCATATTCAGTTGTTGCAGCAGCAGGATTATTACTAACTGGATAGCTGTTCACTTCTGAACTAACTTTTTTCTCTTTGGTTGCATTTTTGTATACGTGATTAGGTATAATGTCTATTGATATTTAATTTTGAGATAAATTGACTTGAAGTCTGCCTGTGTATTAACTATTAAGTCCCCTTCGCTTAGCTAAATCTCACTATAGTATTCATATGTTACAAAAAAGGAATAAAAGATCAACTATCTAAATGTATACAGTACTATCCTTGAAATGTCTTTTAATTGGTCTTTCACTAACTTATTGTCCTTAATAATTCAAAAATATAGAAATGATATAAAGTTACTAATATGAGATTGTTCATATGAACAAAGGATACAGATTTAACTTTATTTCAGTGATGGTAGATTAATCTATCTGCTATGTTACAGTATATGTTTAGATTGGCATTACGTACATATAGACTTGCAAGAAAAAAAGGTACAAGTTGACTGTTTACTGTCTTTGGCTCTACTCCTAGAGCTGTAGAACAAAAGATGGACAGCGTGTCTTTTCCTCCTGCTATGGTACCCATCATTGAAAGAGAGACCCAGCACCTGAAACCCTCCCACTTAGAGTATTTCAGCCTCTGGTATCTAATGTTAACCTTGGAGCTGCAAAGTGGAGAGGGTAAAAAGGGATATAAAAATATATGGATGATACCTTCTTTGGAAAGGTAAGATGCAATTTCTAACGTGGTACAAATGATGCTTCCTTCAGTAACTGGAAATGAAGCGTTGTCAACTTGCGTTTTCAATATAAGTAAAACTGTTTTCTAGTGCTTGCAGAAACAGTCAAACGTGCTGCTGGCATAGGTAGGTTTTTTGTGAGATGTGACCTAATAGAGACATTAGCCTACTAGATTTATTGGTTTTATATTTGCAATACAATATTTGACTTTTTGTTGTTGTTAAGTCACACATAGGAAGCAGCAAGCTGCAGCCTCAGTCTTCAGAAGCAAAAGTGGTACAATTCTGTTTCATTTGTGTCTCTGGGGGCTGAGGCTGGGTGCTGACTGTGAGCCCAGCTTGTTGCGCTGGTTTCCTGAGGGTTTACTGGAGAAACAAAGATGAGTTTTGGACGATACCTCGAGGTGTGGCTATGAATGTGGATAAAAGCAGACTAAAGGCTTTTGCTGCCTGAAGTAGCGTGTTATACATCACCTAGTCCAGCAGTTGTGAAAAAAACAATTGGCAGTTTGTAGGCCTGTTTCAAGGCACCTGTAGAAGTGAAACGTTAGCTGAGTTGTTTTACGTGAAACAAGCAACTCCATAAGCGAATATGGAACATCTTACTGAAGTGGATCTGTACGTTTCAGTATTAGTCTTTTAACAGGATATTATAGGTAACTATAATCTAATATCTGCCTAATATCAGCCTAAATATCTGAGTCTGTTCTCAGAACACGTACAAGGATTCTACATATTTTTACAATTCTTTTCTGGTCAAAGTGGCTATTGTAAAGTGACTGTTTAATCTTCCTGGTTCTTGTTGTGTGTTTGGGTTTTTTTGGGGAATTTTTTTTGTTTTTATGTTTTGGTTTTGGTGGCTAGTTGTGGGTGGTGTGATTTTCTTACTTGTGGGTTTTTTTTAGTATTTCTTTTACTGAGAGGATCTTAATATACTTCTTTTTCTAATATCTTCACAGAGAGAAGGCTGGAGATTGTATTGGAAACATGATCAGAATTGATCAAGTGCAGGAAATTTCCGAGGGACAGTATCTACATTTTTTCCAACGTAAAAATGGTGCCATACCTGGAACAAACCTATTGGCTGGTGATAGAGTGATTGTGAGTGGAGAGGAAAATGGTTTACTTGGTTTGGCTACTGGCTATGTTAGAGAAGTCAGTGTGACAAAAGTCTCCTGTTTGTTGGGCAGGTAATAAACAAAAGTAAAAATATCTGTTTGAAGACGCTATGATACTGGCGTCAGGAACGGTATTTCTAGGTGTCCAGAAAGCTCTGATATGGTCTGACTTTTCTTGCCGGGCTTGGGGAATTACCCTTTGGAAATTCTTGTATCTTGATTGAAAATGTCAATACTTGGTCAGTGTATATGCCTGGCAATTTAAGTAGGTTGTTTAAAAGTATGCTTGCAAACTCCATTTACTTATGTCTCCAACATGAGACTATATGGATACTGTGATTACTATGTTAATAGTAACTTTCATTATTCAGACAATATTGCCTTTAAATTGGGTTCTGATCATGTTTTATTTAGATCAGTTAGTGTGTTTCTTCTAGCTGTTGCTTCACTCTGGGACCTCTAGGAGGTATCGCTTAATACTTAGTAATAAGGCTTTAATCATCAACATACTGCTTGTAAACAGAATTATTTTGTCCATGTTATTGTCATCCTTCAGGAATTTGTCAAAGCTCCCCAAGAACACTGTATTTAGGTTGGATCACGAAGAAGGAGATTTTGGTATAGGAGTCCCCTTTGAAAACCTTTCTAAATTGATGAAAGATTCCCCAGTCAGGTATGGAAAATCAATTTAATTTCACACTTCCAATATTTTCAGATAAAGTTTCTTAACTGGTAACTCTTGATTCTTGGTTTTTTTATCCACAGTGAAAGGCTCCGCAACTTGATAATTGACTTCCAGAAACCACATTTTATTCAGCATTTGAGCTCTGTCCTTCCTCCAGAAGCAAAGGAAACTGTTGCAAATATTTTAAAGGGTACAAAGTGGTTTCCCCAAAAATCCTCTGCTTAGTAGTGCATCTCTAGCCAAAGCATTTATCACACTAAATATAAGGGTATTCTCCTACTTTGGGGTCTAGTGATAGTTTTTGGCTTAAAAATTAAAAACAAGTTCTTACCTTGCATGTCTTCCTGTGATTAAATTAGTCATAAACTAGTTGGAAGACATGGACAGATACTTGATTAGAACTTTATTTTACTTTTATTAGTTGCTGCAGCTTGCAGTTTCAAACAAAGTGCCATCTGACGACTTCTCTGACTTTTCAAAAGGAGGGAGCAGGGAAAGCTCTTGGAATAGAGGAAGCAGGCTTTGAGGGAGTGGAAGGAGATGGGCTTTTGTGTAAACATTCATTTGTATAATCACTCTTGCTGACTGTTAGCTACTCTGTAGTGTGGGATGCTTTGTGGCACACTTTTTTTTAAACAAAATTTGTTTAGGTATTTGGCAGTGTCTCATTCAGTGAAAATACTTCATTGTTCTCTGACAGTTGTCTATGAAAACAGAAATTTAACGGAATTCTCTTAAAGCAAGTAGAACCTTTTATAAAAACTCAGTCTGAAGACTGAAAGATGTGCCTTGTTGCTTTGAGGGCTAATTCAAATAAGAATTTTGCCCAGCTTTCTGGAAAACTGCTGACAGGATAGAAAATGAGAGGAAGGCATTTATTCTGAAACTCAGGAATGACTGATTAGAAGTACTGGAAGACAGGAGGAACAGTGTCTTCCCGTACTTGCAAGCCATATATTTTCTTTACAGAAAAGCACTGATAAACCTAGATGTTTCGTTTGTTTTTTTTTTTTCTTGAGCTTTGCCTAGTCCAAATAGCTGGAACACACTGCCTATTTGCATCAGACTGGGGAAAAACAGCTCTGATGCAATGTTTCTTTGAATCAAGATGATGCCATATGTGCAGGTCATTTCCCTTTGCTGTGAGCCCTGCGTTTGAACATGAAAGTGGGTATGATCAAATAGAAATGCCCATACAAGATATCATATGAAGGTGGTCCTTTGGGATATTAGGGAAAAAAAAGTCACAAAAGGTCTAAGAATAAAGATGTCTTCAGTGATTTATTTCTAGGACTGTAATGTAGACCCTGTACTACTTGTCTGTGTATTACGTTTAATATCATCACTTCATTAGAACCTACAGACTTACTCTGCTCGAGTCTTTTCTTTAAGGGTTTTAGTGGAGGATGAAACTATAGTTTTGTTTTATTAACTGCAGCAATTATTACAATGATTATGAAGTATCGACATTTAATTTTCATTTTTCTTCTGTAAAGGTCTGAATAAGCCTCAGAAGCAGGCAATGAAACAAGTACTACTTTCAAAAGACTACACACTTATTGTGGGTATGCCTGGAACAGGAAAAACTACTACAATATGTGCTCTAGTAAGATCACGTACCTTGATGTTGAAATTTTTTTTGGTGAGATTTAGAGGAGATCATTAAACAAACTATGTATAAAGCATACTCTCCAAAATTAATTGTCATGACTTAGTCTACTGGTATCTACATAATTTCAAAGAAGAAAACACATTTCTTTTTACTTAAGAACTTACATTTGGTAGAACTAAAAATGTATTTTGTGGAGTAGGATTCTCTTTTGCTTGTGTAGGAATACATGTGGGAGGGAGGAGACTGAAGTGTGATATTTAATCACTTCTGTGACACTATAATTGTAAAATTCTTTGGGCCTAAATGTCAGCAAGTCCTCAAATCCTAAGGTACAGCTCAAAAAAAGGACTTATTGGGGAAGCCAGTAACTTGTCCATTGCGAATTGTATAAACCCACAGTGCTGAAGCTATGTGCAGCCTGGTAATCATCTCCTCTAGTTGGTGGTTCTCTTTCCCCAGGAATGGACTGTAGGAGCATACTGGATTCAGGCTGTGGGCCGAGTGAATTTTTCTTGAAATAGCAGCATCATCTCACTTCCAGTTGTCATCAGCTCATGGGGAAAGGGGAGGCTGGAGAGCAAGCAGCTGCTGCTGTTATCAGATCAGCTCATTCTACTGAATCTGTTGTGGCTAAATTGTCAGAGAGAACAGTGTTTGTGGGAATGGGCTGCATGACTTGCTCTTACAGTGAGGATCTTCAGAATGCAGTTCCTTCTTTTCAGTGCAGTTTGCAAGTGTGCATGGATGTTCTTAGCTCTTGCTGTTTGCAGCATGCACAGCAAGCCTGCTGTTTATGATAACCGTTGGGTCTGTTGCCCATATTGCTTTGACAGTAGCTAACTGGCAGATCTGGCCAGAAAGACTGATATAAATGAAGACATACTTGTTAATGGCTTCCTCTGAAACTTCTTGGGTTTTTTTTGTTTCGTTTTTTTTACCCAGTCAAACATGGGATTGCTGATTCTTGTATGCAAACTTTTTTTTTTTTTTTCTTTTCTTTCCCTTTGCCACTTGTTAGGTGAGAATTCTTTCTGCTTGTGGCTTCAGTGTTCTTCTGACTAGTTTTACACACACTGCTGTAGACAATATCCTGCTAAAGCTAGCCAAATTCAAAGTTGGTTTCTTGCGCTTGGGGCGAGCTCAGAAAGTTCATCCAGATATACGGAAATTTACAGAAGAAGAAATTTGCAGGTCCAAATCAATGAAATCTGTAACAGATTTGGAAGAGGTCTACAACAGTCAGGTGAGAAAAGTGTGTTTGCTGGCCCTGCAAAATATTAAGGATAATTACAACTAGTATTCTGGTTGTTCAGATGCTGCAGAGAAGGAACTCATCCCAGGGGTGTGTTACTCGTGTGGAAAATCTGAGCTGAAAAAGATACTTAATTTCTGCATCGCTCAATTTCTCTACAGCCAATAATGACCAATATTAACAGTCTGAAAGCTGAAAATAATTTTTTATGTCTACATAAAATAACTAATCATTATAAGTAATAATTTCTGAAGACTCCAGTGCTTTTATCTGAGATCTTGTGTTGAATTGTTTACTTATATATCCTCTCCCAAAGTGGTCTCTCCTAAAGTGTGGTTCCTTGACAAATTTATCTGTTGAGGGGGCGGTGATTAACTGCTGTGACCTCCTCTGTCTTTACTTACATATTGTTCCCGTCTGTCCCTTTTTCCCTCCCACTTGTGCTAGTTGTACCATTTGTACAGTCAGAGGATGGGGAAGAGTAAGGGTGGTGTGCTGTGGAGCTGATCTGGTCAAACACTAATTTCCGATTGAAAGATTAGTGCTGCCTGTGTGAATGTGAATGCAAAGGGCTGTAATGGGAGCTGGGTAAACGGAGTCAGTGGCAGCTTTAAATTAAATTCGTTGAAAGAATGAAGCTTCATGGTAGTTGGAGTAAATGCCAGCATTGCAAAAACCAGCATTTAGTTTTGATGGATGTTGCAGGGAAACGATTGAAGTCATGAGGGAAGTAACTTAACGTTTTGTATTTTAGTCATTTTAGATTGCAGTGGAAGCACAGAGGTGGGAAGAACTGTGCTGCTCTTTTATCTTTTTGGAATTAAAAAACCAAACCAAAACACATAATTTTCTAAGGTAGTCATTTCAGCACACTCCATGAATTGTATATGCATAGAACCTGATGTCACTCTGAGCACACGGCAGGAGCGAGTTATTTGCTACAGTATGTTCTAAAGCTGTTTTTTGTTCGTCATTTGGAGTCAATGCAGGAATATGTGAGGCCAGTACATATGCAAGGTGTGCTGGTCTGATTTCAAGGATTAATAATTTGATTTGACCAGGGAGGTGATAGTGCCCCTGTACTCGGCTCGAGTTCTGTGTTCAGTTTTGGGCCCCTCACTACAGGAAGGACATGGAGGTGCTGGAGCGTGTCCAGAGAAGGGCAACGAAGCTGGGGAAGGGTCTGGAGCACAAGTCTTATGAGGAGAGGCTGAGGGAGCTGGGGTTGTTTAGCCTGGAGAAGAGGAGGCTGAAGGGAGACCTTATTGCTCTCTACAACTACCTGAAAGGAGGCTGTAGTGAGGTGAGGGTTGGTCTCTTTTTCCCAAGTAACAAGTGATGGGACGAGAGGAAACGGCCTCAAGCTGCGCCAGGGGAGGTTTAGGTTAGACATTAGGAAAAACTTCTTCACCGAAAGGGTGGTCAAGCACTGGAACAGGCTGCCTAGGGAAGTGGTTGAGTCCCCATCCCTGGAGGTATTTAAAGAACAGATAGATGTGGTGCTTGAAGACATGGTATAGATGGACTTGGCAGTGTTAGGTTAACAGTTGGACTCGATCTTAAGGGTCTTTTCCAACCTTGATGATTCTATGATTCTATCATTTATTTTATCTTACATTTTAGTTTAGTTTAATGGGAAGGATTATTTTTTCTCTTAACCTGAAAAATGTGGTGCTAAAAGATATAAGATGTATCTTATCCTTAAAGCATGTCTCAATTTTCAGCCAGTGGTAGCAACGTCTTGCATGGGAGTAAATCACCCCATCTTCATTCAGAAGCAATTTGATTTCTGTATAGTTGACGAAGCTTCCCAAATAAGCCAGCTCATCTGTCTGGGCCCGCTATTCTGCTCCAAAAGGTTTGTGCTGGTAGGGGATCATCAACAGCTACCTCCGCTTGTACTGAACGCTGAAGCAAGGTAAGATAAAAAGCTGCTGGACAATTATTAGTAACACGAGTTCTGGGAAGGCTCTTGCAATATTTTGCCTGACACATTTTTGTATTTTTTTGTTTGTTTTGTAACAGAGATCTTGGCATGAGTGAAAGCTTATTTAAAAGGCTGGAACAAAACCAAAATGCTGTTGTCCAATTAACTGTGCAATACAGAATGAATAGGTATTTGAAACTTTTATTTATTACATTGAGGTTTTCAATGTGGGATTGAAACCGCAAATTTGACGCCTTTTCTTGTTTTTTAAATCTTCAGTAAGATTATGTCACTGAGTAACATGTTAGTGTATGAAGGCAAACTGGAATGTGGCTCAGAGAAGGTGTCAAATGCCACTGTTAACTTGCCCAACCTAAAAAAACTGAAACTGGATCTTGCAGATGCTTCAAAAACATGGTTGAAAGAAGTACTTGATCCAGACACACCTGTGTGTTTTCTGAACACAGAGAAGGTAAAGTTCATTATGTTCTCCTTTCAAAATCGTATTTTTGATGCAAGTTCTCAATACAGTCAACATGTAAAACTTCAGCTTAAGGTAAAATATGTAACTTTAAAAAATGGTTTTCTAGTTATGTGTAAAATGTGCAACATGCAAAAATCTTGTTAGTATAGCTGATCAGTTGGGCTGGTACAGCTACTGTTGGAAGCATTGCATCTGAGAGCAGCTGAAAAGTTTAATTCAGATAATATTTCAGAAAATATTGAATATACTATAGACTTTGTTCTCATGTACAGAATGTAGCTCAAAGTGTGTAGCCATATTGGATGCCCTTGCAACCAGAGAATGATCTCATTTCCAGCGGCTGAGTGTCAGTGGTGTCGAAGCTGTGTGCTGGTGGCAGGAATAAGTGTAATTCTCCATTGAATTTTGCAGAGATTCTATACACTGAAGCGTGAGGGAGGAGTAAGTTGGTTTAGGTGTGTCCTTTCACAGAGACTCAGAAAAATAAAACTCTAGAATGGGTAAAAATTATGCAAAGAAACTGACTTCCAGGCAAAATGGAGACATTTAAAAGCACGTGGAAAAAGATTAATAAATTAGTACATATTTGTGGTCTGTAGTACTTGCTGTCACTGTACTTAGACTCAAATCTTCATAATCCAGTCACTATCTTCCTCTCTAACAGGTTTTATGGTGATTCCTATTAATACTGTGTTTTGCCAATAGTTGTATCGATTGGTGATCTTTTATGCTGACCCTGGAAAGAACTCCCCAATCTTCCTGTGCTCTCCAGGACATTCTACAGGATTCTTTTTTTTTTTTTTTTTTTTTTTTTTAATAACCATTTTTATAGAATTTTTTTAATTA